TTTTTCTTAGAGTTTTATTGTGTAGTGGGGCCCCTGTGTTTGTATGTATAGGTGTTGAAGTCAAAGACTTGCTTTCCAAAATACAACATAGCCATTCGGAATACTGGTGCCAAATGTCTAGAGTCTTAAGACTGCAGAGAGTAAATCACAGCAGAAAAGCTGACTCTCGAGGAAAATTCTTCCCAAAAAGTGACGAAGAATGGCGTTATGGCATTTTGGACGGAAACTCTTTGATTTGATGTTGAAATCAAATTCATTAGTGCACAGACTAACCCTCTCTTTTTTTCTTTTGCAGTTTTTTTTTTCTTCTTCCCTGTCTCTTGTCCGAGTGTACTTGCAGGTATTGACGACGGCCGGGACGGGATGTTCTCTGAGGGTCCGCTGTTGGGGTTTTGTGAGTTGAGTTGTGCATGTTTAATTTCATGCTTTTTCTTAGAGTTTTATTGTGTAGTGGGGCCCCTGTGTTTGTATGTATAGGTGTTGAAGTCAAAGACTTGCTTTCGAAAATGCAACATAGCCATTTGGAATACTGGTTCCAAATGTCTAGAGTCTTAAGACTCCCGAGAGTAAATCACAGCAGAAAAGCTGACTCTCGAGGAAAATTCTTCCCAAAAAGTGACGAAGAATGGCGTTATGGCGTTTTGGAGGGAAACTCTTTGATTTGATGTTGAAATCAAGTTCATTAGTGCACAGACTAACCCTCTCTTTCTTTCTTTTGCAGTTTTTTTTTCTTTCTTCTCTGTCTCTTGTCCGAGTGTACTTGCAGGTATTGACGACGGCCGGGACGGGATGTTCTCTGAGGGTCCGCTGTTGGGGTTTTGTGAGTTGAGTTGTGCATGTTTAATTTCATGCTTTTTCTTAGAGTTTTATTGTGTAGTGGGGCCCCTGTGTTTGTATGTATAGGTGTTGAAGTCAAAGACTTGCTTTCCAAAATACAACATAGCCATTTGGAATACTGGTGCCAAATGTCTAGAGTCTTAAGACTGCAGAGAGTAAATCACAGCAGAAAAGCTGACTCTCGAGGAAAAGTCTTCCCAAAAAGTGACGAAGAATGGCATTATGGCATTTTGGAGGGAAACTCTTTGATTTGATGTTGAAATCAAGTTCATTAGTGCACAGACTAACCCTCTCTTTTTTTCTGTTACAGGTTTTTTTTCTTTCTTCCCTGTCTCTTGTCCGAGTGTACTTGCAGGTATTGACGACGGCCGGGACGGGATGTTCTCTGAGGGTCCGCTGTTGGGGTTTTGTGAGTTGAGTTGTGCATGTTTAATTTCATGCTTTTTCTTAGAGTTTTATTGTGTAGTGGGGCCCCTGTGTTTGTATGTATAGGTGTTGAAGTCAAAGACTTGCTTTCCAAAATGCAACATAGCCATTTGGAATACTGGTGCCAAATGTCTAGAGTCTTAAGACTCCAGAGAGTAAATCACAGCAGAAAAGCTGACTCTCGAGGAAAATTCTTCCCAAAAAGTGACGAAGTATGGCGTTTTGGAGGGAAACTCTTTGATTTGATGTTGAAATCAAGTTCATTAGTGCACAGACTAACCCTCTCTTTTTTTCTTTTGCATTTTTTTTTTCTTTCTTCTCTGTCTCTTGTCCGAGTGTACTTGCAGGTATTGACGACGGCCGGGACGGGATGTTCTCTGAGGGTCCGCTGTTGGGGTTTTGTGAGTTGAGTTGTGCATGTTTAATTTCATGCTTTTTCTTAGAGTTTTATTGTGTAGTGGGGCCCCTGTGTTTGTATGTATAGGTGTTGAAGTCAAAGACTTGCTTTCCAAAATACAACATAGCCATTCGGAATACTGGTGCCAAATGTCTAGAGTCTTAAGACTGCAGAGAGTAAATCACAGCAGAAAAGCTGACTCTCGAGGAAAATTCTTCCCAAAAAGTGACAAAGAATGGCGTTATGGCATTTTGGAGGGAAACTCTTTGATTTGATGTTGAAATCAAGTTCATTAGTGCACAGACTAACCCTCTCTTTCTTTCTTTTGCAGTTTTTTTTTCTTTCTTCCCTGTCTCTTGTCCGAGTGTACTTGCAGGTATTGACGACGGCCGGGACGGGATGTTCTCTGAGGGTCCGCTGTTGGGGTTTTGTGAGTTGAGTTGTGCTTGTTTAATTTCATGCTTTTTCTTAGAGTTTTATTGTGTAGTGGGGCCCCTGTGTTTGTATGTATAGGTGTTGAAGTCAAAGACTTGCTTTCCAAAATACAACATAGCCATTTGGAATACTGGTGCCAAATGTCTAGAGTCTTAAGACTCCAGAGAGTAAATCACAGCAGAAAAGCTGACTCTCGAGGAAAATTCTTCCCAAAAAGTGACGAAGAATGGCGTTTTGGAGGGAAACTCTTTGATTTGATGTTGAAATCAAGTTCATTAGTGCACAGACTAACCCTCTCTTTTTTTCTTTTGCAGTTTTTTTTTCTTTCTTCCCTGTCTCTTGTCCGAGTGTACTTGCAGGTATTGACGATGGCAGGGACGGGATGTTCTCTGAGGGTCCGCTGTTGGGGTTTTGTGAGTTGAGTTGTGCATGTTTAATTTCATGCTTTTTCTTAGAGTTTTATTGTGTAGTGGGGCCCCTGTGTTTGTATGTATAGGTGTTGAAGTCAAAGACTTGCTTTCCAAAATGCAACATAGCCATTTGGAATACTGGTGCCAAATGTCTAGAGTCTTAAGACTCCAGAGAGTAAATCACAGCAGAAAAGCTGACTCTCGAGGAAAATTCTTCCCAAAAAGTGACGAAGAATGGCGTTATGGCATTTTGGACGGAAACTCTTTGATTTGATGTTGAAATCAAATTCATTAGTGCACAGACTAACCCTCTCTTTTTTTCTTTTGCAGTTTTTTTTTCTTCTTCCCTGTCTCTTGTCCGAGTGTACTTGCAGGTATTGACGACGGCCGGGACGGGATGTTCTCTGAGGGTCCGCTGTTGGGGTTTTGTGAGTTGAGTTGTGCATGTTTAATTTCATGCTTTTTCTTAGAGTTTTATTGTGTAGTGGGGCCCCTGTGTTTGTATGTATAGGTGTTGAAGTCAAAGACTTGCTTTCGAAAATGCAACATAGCCATTTGGAATACTGGTTCCAAATGTCTAGAGTCTTAAGACTCCAGAGAGTAAATCACAGCAGAAAAGCTGACTCTCGAGGAAAATTCTTCCCAAAAAGTGACGAAGAATGGCGTTATGGCGTTTTGGAGGGAAACTCTTTGATTTGATGTTGAAATCAAGTTCATTAGTGCACAGACTAACCCTCTCTTTTTTTCTTTTGCAGTTTTTTTTTCTTTCTTCTCTGTCTCTTGTCCGAGTGTACTTGCAGGTATTGACGACGGCCGGGACGGGATGTTCTCTGAGGGTCCGCTGTTGGGGTTTTGTGAGTTGAGTTGTGCATGTTTAATTTCATGCTTTTTCTTAGAGTTTTATTGTGTAGTGGGGCCCCTGTGTTTGTATGTATAGGTGTTGAAGTCAAAGACTTGCTTTCCAAAATACAACATAGCCATTCGGAATACTGGTGCCAAATGTCTAGAGTCTTAAGACTGCAGAGAGTAAATCACAGCAGAAAAGCTGACTCTCGAGGAAAATTCTTCCCAAAAAGTGACGAAGAATGGCGTTATGGCGTTTTGGAGGGAAACTCTTTGATTTGATGTTGAAATCAAGTTCATTAGTGCACAGACTAACCCTCTCTTTTTTTCTTTTGCAGTTTTTTTTTCTTTCTTCCCTGTCTCTTGTCCGAGTGTACTTGCAGGTATTGACGACGGCCGGGACGGGATGTTCTCTGAGGGTCCGCTGTTGGGGTTTTGTGAGTTGAGTTGTGCTTGTTTAATTTCATGCTTTTTCTTAGAGTTTTATTGTGTAGTGGGGCCCCTGTGTTTGTATGTATATGTGTTGAAGTCAAAGACTTGCTTTCCAAAATACAACATAGCCATTTGGAATACTGGTGCCAAATGTCTAGAGTCTTAAGACTCCAGAGAGTAAATCACAGCAGAAAAGCTGACTCTCGAGGAAAATTCTTCCCAAAAAGTGACGAAGAATGGCGTTATGGCGTTTTGGAGGGAAACTCTTTGATTTGATGTTGAAATCAAGTTCATTAGTGCACAGACTAACCCTCTCTTTTTTTCTTTTGCAGTTTTTTTTTCTTTCTTCCCTGTCTCTTGTCCGAGTGTACTTGCAGGTATTGACGATGGCCGGGACGGGATGTTCTCTGAGGGTCCGCTGTTGGGGTTTTGTGAGTTGAGTTGTGCAGGTTTAATTTCATGCTTTTTCTTAGAGTTTTATTGTGTAGTGGGGCCCCTGTGTTTGTATGTATGGGTGTTGAAGTCAAAGACTTGCTTTCCAAAATGCAACATAGCCATTTGGAATACTGGTGCCAAACGTCTAGAGTCTTAAGACTCCAGAGAGTAAATCACAGCAGAAAAGCTGACTCTCGAGGAAAATTCTTCCCAAAACGTGACGAAGAATGGCGTGATGGCGTTTTGGAGGGAAACTCTTTGATTTGATGTTGAAATCAAGTTTATTTGTGCACAGATTAACCCTCTCTTTTTTTCTTTTGCAGTTTTTTTTCTTTCTTCCCTGTCTCTTGTCCGAGTAAACTTGCAGGTATTGACGACGGCCGGGACGGGATGTTCTCTGAGGGTCCGCTTTTGGGGTTTTGTGAGTTGAGTTGTGCATGTTTAATTTCATGCTTTTTCTTAGAGCTTGATTGTGGCACTGTGTTTGTATGTATAGGTGTTGAAGTCAAAGACTTGCTTTCCAAAATGCAACATAGCCATTTGGAATACCTTTGCCAAATGTCTAGGGTCTGAAGACTCCTGAGAGTAAATCAGAGCAAAAAAGCTGACTCTCAAGTAAAATTCTTGCATAAAAGTGTCGATTAATGTCGTTATGGCGTTTTGAAGGAAAATTCTTTGAACTGATGTCGTTATCAAGTTGATATTGCATGCACAGACACCATCTTTTTTTCTTTCGTTTTTTTTTCATTCCCTCTTTGTTGTCTGTGTTTCCTCCAGGTACTGACTGGATGTTCTCTGAGGGTCTGCTGTTGGCGTTTTCTGAGTTGTGTTCTTCTATGCTTAATTTCATGTTTTTTTTCTTAGTGCTTTATTGTGTACAGTGGGGCCCCTGTTTTTGTATGTATAGGTGTTGAAGTCAAAGACTTGCTTTCCAAAATGCAACATAGCCATTTGGAATACTGGTGCCAAATGTCTAGAGTCTTAAGACTCCAGAGAGTAAATCACAGCAGAAAAGCTGACTCTCGAGCAAGTCCATACAGTGTTTCCCCATTTCTGGAAAACAGGTTAGGCATTTTTGGTTAGGTTTATCATAGAAAAAAAATTGGGTTGAAAGAGTTTTTCACAGTTCGAGAATTTGTTTTCCCACTGGTTTTTCTTAACTACACGAAACCAAGGGAATGTCCACACTTGGTATGTAACGTAAATATGTGTTTGTGGGTGTGATCTGATACACCGTTCCCTCTGGAGACATGTGTACAATAGGGAACAAAAGATTGTATACGTCTCCACAGGACAATTTCTATAGATGAATACGTCTGCACAAGATTTTACTCAAAAACTAGGAATTTCCAAGGTGGGTTGATCAGTCGCAAATGGAAGAGTTTCAACCAAGGAAATTAATTCTGGTTAAAATAAGAGCATTTTGAAACTTCACTTTCAAACTCGAAACTTTTACTATCGTACACGAGAACAAAGAAATGTCTTCACAAGAATACAAATTTCAGTATGGGTGTGTGTGTGTGTGTTTTTTTTTTTTTTACTGTATTGCGCTTTTTGAAATGGTAGGACTTATGGAAGGAGCTGCATTATATCTCGGTTTCAGTTCTGGCTGTGCTGTACTGCCTGCTGTTATGGTTATCGCATAAATCTAGACAATCATGACAATGAGAATATCCTAAGATGTGATATTGTTATAGCTCTTTTGACATGTCTGATGACCATTTGAAATGTTGAGTAATTCATCTTCAATGACAGCCTGTATGCATTTTCTGTTCATGATAGATTGTTATCGAGTCCATTCAGTTCGGAGGATCCAGGGCAACTTAGTATAGAGCTCCTAGCTCCTACAGGGAATTATAAAGGTAACAACAGTTTCTCTGTTACGTGTGCATGTAACATGTTTAGTTGACCAACATTCTCTACACGCCCACGTAAAAAAGCATGATGGTTTATGAGACCTTGTTTGTAAAAGTATTTTTTTATTAATTTTTTTAGAGAAATCGTATTTAAAACTGGTGATCAATCTAAAAGTAGTTCGCTTCTAAACAGTATACAAAACTGTGCTAATGGCATCAATTGCGTGCAAGTGTTCTTTAATAAGTTTTTCATTTCTGACTTTGATACTAACTACTAACAACCCGCATTTCGGGTTTCATTTTGTCGCTCATGATTTGCGTTAATTGACTACATAAAAAAGCACCATTTTTTTATGTACTTCTCTGTCTCCATTTATACAGGTTTCTTTGGAAGAACAGCAGCTACGCTAGGCGTGCTGTATCAACCTTTGGTCAACAGTACTGGAAGATAATTAATGTTGTTCATATACATACATCCCACACGCTCCTCCATTAGACAGCCCGTTGAGTAATCACATCAGCCAAAACGAGGGTGTAGTTATTTGTTTTGTTGTTCACAATTACATCACTGATATAATGAGAACTCGTGTTGTATGCTGAAAACTTGCTTCAAGAACACCTGCAATGTCTTTTGTAAACATAACTAGTCCTCTTTTAGCAACAATTCACTTTGCATGTTTTCCTGAAATATGTATTTTATAGAATTGCCTTGATTGTGTTATGCTCTAAATTATCTCATTATGCAGGCTGCATAAACATTATAACTTTGTCCATGAATATAATTGAACTCCCAATTGACATCAGGCAGCAACAAAATGTCACTATAGCTTCAAGTCGAAACTGAAGACCTTATTTCGAAAGGCTTTTAACATGTAAATTGACTCTGTTGGATTTTAAATAAGTGGTCAGTATAGGCATAAAGCATCATTTTTTTTTTTCATTTTCTGTTTATTTTATTGAATTGGGATTCGTTTTTTTTTTTCGAAGTTAACAATTTAGTGGTCTTTTAAATGAGATATTTTATCTGTAGTATTCACCTACCGGTTTACCTTTATGATTTGACTTAATTGTTGTAGCTAGGTTTTTGTGCATTTTTATTGAATTTTGAATAACCTGAAGTCTTATTGTTTTTATTGTAAGGCGCATTCGATAAATTTTACTTGGAAAATGTGCGGTAGAAATGTTTTTATACATGGGAGAAGTAATCTGAACAATGCCCCATTTTATGTATCAAAATGCCCTGGTCAATACTGCTGGCACTTTCATTGAGCTGAAATTCTGGTTTAAGGTCAAATACAATTCCAAACTGACCTTTTCGTTTTAAATTTTTAAAGTATTTTCAGGAAAGAAACAACAATGGGTTTATGAAAAAAAAAAAAATTCTAGTCAAAGGATACATATTGATAAAAAAAATGCAACTTTTAAAAAGAATGTATCATCTAGTGTTTACAAAAAATTAACGGAAGACGAATAAAGTAGCATTCACGTGTACATCAACTCCAACACATGTGACTCAAATGTATATTCTTTATTAATTAATGCATGGTGTTATAAACACATGTTTCTGAATGTATAATCCATGGTTAACCGTTGATTGCAACCAGTGGTATTATCTATGGTAGTCCATTCAACTGAACTAATGGTATGATCTATTATATGCCATGTGGGCCTATAAGCATATGCACCTGTTGTCAAATACCGTTGAAACCATTGGTGTTATCAGTGCAATACCATTGATTTGATTTGTTTGTTTTTTAGTTTTATGTGTGCCATTGTGTGGAACCAATGGTTTTAATCCTGGTATATCATTCAGTGGAACCATTGATCTCATAAATGGTACACCAGGAGCCATGTGTGTATGATCCATGGTATACCATCGAGATGAACCAATGGTCAATGGTATTATCAGTGGTTCAAATGGTAAACTCATATGGTATACCAATGTTGGCGTTCCAAAACACCTTTGCAGTGGTAACCGTTGAAACCATTGGTGTCATCAGGTCAATTCAATGGTAATGCACGATTGTCTTCTTCAAGGTTAGTCATGTTATCCACGTCTGTTAGCAGTATTAACACCATGCCTGGGCTGAAATGCATTTTTTCCATGGGTGGCCATCCGGAGGGTATGCCTCTGATAATTGTTGGGCAGGGGCCGTTCCCCCCCCCCCCCCCCGAAATTTAATCCAGTGAGTGCGAATATTGTTTTTACTAGATGTGTCTAAAATGTGCTTTTTCTTTTTCCGAAACGGTGTTCTCGTGACATTGCTTATGTATGACCCTTAACCCCTGATTGCACAATAACGAAAAATGCGCATATTTATTAGGTAGGGTATACATGTATGTATACTACAAAATATGGTCCAAATGTCCCTCGTGTTCAATGTTAATGAGAAATCATCATCGTTGCATATTGCCCGGTGTTTTTTGTTTGTTTGTTTGTTTGTTTGTTTGTTTGTTTGTTTGTTTGTTTGTTTGTTTGTTTGTTTGTTTTTTAGCAAATCTGGCAACAGAATTACATAGGCATACCCTCCTTCACTCAAATCACTTTTTAATGGGTTGAGGTTTTTGTCGGAATCTTTTCTGCTGTGATAGTGGAAGGTCTCAAACATTGCCAGTACGTCATTTTCGGTTAATCAGAACTTTTCGTTTATCAGCACCTGATCTGTTTTCTGCAGTTCCGCTCTTGCTTGTAAAGCCAGGCCTGACACCAACTGGCAGCGCAAGGTTTATTTCAGTGAGGTATTGAAAGAAAATCAATTGTCTAAGGTCTCCATTTGTGGAACACTACTGATAACAGAATTAGAACAATGAAATCCAATAATGGTTTTAAATCCTCGTACAAAACGGTGCTCCTATCACGATGTGTTACATAGCTTTCCCTCCTTAGGTACTCTCCATAGCCACACATTTTTTTTTCCGTACAGCAATGCGTCGCTTTTATTCAACTTATCTTCATCGTAACTATTCATTTTGTCTCCGTTTTCAGTGTCCCGTCTCGTGTTTTTTTCTTGTATTAAGGTTTCCTTTGACTGTTTGTTTTCGTGTTTTATTGTCTGTGAATACTGTCCTGTGTTGTCCGTTTATATGATAGGCTGTTCCCTAAAAAGATCAAGCTTCGGCGTGGTTTATATGAACAGCCTACTTTTAGCCATAGGCCTACTTTTCACCCTCCTTTAATTTACTTTGTGGTTTGTAATTACGGATATGCACTATTATTATTCATATAACATAAAATTACCTCTTTTTTGTTTGAAAAACTTAATTTGACTTACTTATGAACAAATATGTAAATAATATGTTTCCTTTGAATTAAATTGAAATATGTTGGCCTCCATACTGCACGAGAAAACGCATACTATCTCACGATGACTTGACGGATCCTACGGCCGTCAAGGGCCGGCCAGATTAATGATGTACTATCCACATTTTGTCGATATGATGATTATTGGTCTTTTTCGATCTATGCCACATTTGGGGCTCTTATAAAATGCACTATATATTTGCCATGCTATACAGACGATTTGAGTGATTTAGGGGTAGGGTAAGTTAAACGGCTTTTGCGATCCCAATTTTCAAGACAGAGAGCATTGTTACCACTCTTAGATTTTTTTGAATTACGAAGAGTGTGTGTATTTAAGAATAAATGGAGTTCACTTACACTTACACTTAAGATTGGATGGGATTATCAATTATAGGCTTAAGCTTTTTAAGACCCCATATCCAGATTCTTTCAAGTAGATTCTGTCAAATCTATTCTTGAACTGATTGACATTCATGGCATTTACGACGTAGGCTGGGAGATTGTTCCAGTTGTTTATTACCCGTTGGGAGAAGAAGTGTTTCCTCAATTGGAGACCTGTATGCATTCTCTTTTTGAACAACTTCAACCTGTGACCTCGGGTACTCGTACTTGACTTGGAGAAGAACTTTTCTGGATCAATATCGTCGAAGCTATTCAGGATCTTATGTGTCTCAATAAGGTCACCCCTTACTCTCCGCACTTCAAGTGTGAATAGGTGCAACTGTTCCATCCTTTCGCTGTACGGTTTTCTTCTCAATTCTGGTACTAGCTTTGTCGCCCTCCTCTGAACTTTCTCTCGAACCGGCAGGGGCTCCATGACTGAACGCTGTACTCAAGATGTGGTCTGGTGTAGGCTTTATACAATATCCCAAAGCTTTCTTTGTCAATGTGCTTGAATGTCCTCTTGATAACTCTTAGACTTTGCATCGCTGTAGCTGCTGCTTTGGAACATTGCAAGCTGGGTTTGCAGTCACTTGTGAGGTGCACACCAAGGTCCTTCTCTTCCTCAACTGCTTGAATGGTTTCTCCATTTAAGGTGTATTTAACCCTCGGGTTTTCCTTGCCCATATGCATGCACTTGCATTTCGCAGCATTGAAACGAAGTAACCATGTTTGAGTCCATGTTTCAAGGGTTTGCAGATCTTCTTGAATCTTCTGACTGCCATCCGAGCCATACTTTCCAACAACATTGTATAGCTTGGTGTCATCTGCAAACAGTATAGCCGTCGATGAGACAATATCTGGGAGGTCATTGATATATAGAACAAATAGAGTTGGTCCAAGCACTGACCCTTGTGGAACTCCACTTATGACATCTGCCCATTCCGAGGATTCCCTTCTTACTCCAACTTGCTGCTTCCTGTTTCTCAGAAATTCCTCTACCACCTAAGTACCTTCCCACCAATTCCATATGCCCTTAGTTTCGATATTAGCCTCTTGCGGGGAACTGTATCGAAGGCTTTGGCATAGTCCAAGTAGATCACATCCAAGTAGATCACATCCACTCCACAGTCTTCGAGCTCATAACAGTCCCCCAATAGGGCAAAGTCGCAGGATTTGCACAGGGGGTGTCCTCAAAGCAATAATACCCCCAGAGAACACGATGCGGAACTTAGGACCGACCATATCTTGTTCACCCATTCTGAAAAGATGTAAAAGGCGAAAACCGGTCACGATGGGACCATTAGCGATAGAGCAGTGGCCGAAAATATGAATTATCTGTTTTTCAAAAAATAGGCTCCAATATAACAGTTTCGGCAGGGGCGGCGGAACCGGGGGGGGGGGGCACGTCCCCCCAGATTTCCCGAAGTGCCCCTTTTCCGGACATCAATGTGCCCCCTGGAGCATAAACATACCCCTCTAGATGAAAACAAAACTTGCCCTAAAATTTCGGATAATTTGTTTTCAGTAACTATTTCCCAAAATGAACTAGGAATATGACTGAAACCAAGCCCCAAAACCTTTACAATACGCCCTAAAACTTGCCGGTTTTGAAGAGCGCCTCCTATTTAGGAAGATGTTACAAGCCCCCCCCCCCCCCCCCCCCCCCATTTGATTTTACGGAGGCCAAGTGTCCGGTGAAAAAAACGTGTCGACACTCAGCACGGATGCAAGTGCCCCTTTTTGGGTGATGCCCCCCCCCCCCCCCCCCCGTGAAAACCGTTCCGCCTCGGCTTAGTTTTGGAGCTGGAAGGTTAAACTACCGCCTGTGCAACTTAAGAGCAGCATATTCGGATGTCCAAAGGTGTCCTACAACAGATCATAATATTTAGACTAATCATATAATTTGTGCGATTTAATGGCTCGGTGATGCGATCTGAGGGCAGTTTCTGACAATTACTTTTTTTTGTTGGAAAAGGTCATTTAAACATCTCTTTTTTTTTTAGTTTGGAGTCAATTATTATTCATAAATACCTCAGACAGTTTAGCCATTCCTATTGGTCGAGAGCCCGTCACGTGGCCGGTCTTAAACGGATGATAAAGACATGGCTAGCTGGTCTTAAACACTTTTCCAGTGTCACATAAAATGTGGACTCCTAAAAATCCAGTGCCTCTTACCGTTTCATTGGTTGAACGTTCACAATCCTCACGTAGGCATGCGCAACACTACCAGTGAGTCAGAATTTTATAGTTCTAAATTCAAAACGCAACGCCCCAGGTGCGTTCTGCGCGACATCGCGTAGAACGTGCCACGCGCGCGTCAATCTCCATAAAAGGGTTGTTTACATCTTACTCGCCAGCTGAACACTCCATTATTTTGCTAGAGGGATGTTTCAAAAAGCTGGAGTGAACTTGTTGAACAAAATCGGGATTTTTGGAAGGAATTACTTGATTTTTTTTTACCGGAAAGGTATTTATGAATGGGAATAAATATGTGCTCGGTCGGTATTAATCACTCTGTTTAAGACTGCTTAGAGTCTGGGTGCTGATAATTACCCGAGCCTCCGGCTCGGGTAATTATCAGCACCCAGACTCAAAGCAGTCTTGAACAGAGTGATTAAAACCTCTCGAGCACACATTTATTCCCTTAATCAAACATGAGAAATCCCGTGTGGGCGTGAGAGCGTGAGAATGTGAGAATAACCTGAAATTGAAATGCGTGAGTCTCACGGTGAGTCTCACGCTCAGGGTGCAGACCAGTAAATCGGTCCGAAATTGTCTGCGCCGGCCAAATCACGATTTGCATGCCCTCAAAATCTTCGGTATTTGAGCATGCTGTGGGCCATGAACTTCAGGGTTTGTAAAAAATATGGGTGGAAGCCGTGCACAGGACTGGGAGCTTGCAGTTCTGTGTAATTTTGATGTAATTTGGACCCTAAAAGCGCTCTATTTTGCAATGGAGTGTAGGCATCGTTTTTCAAAATGGCGATGGGCTTCAGGACTATTTTCAGGGGTGATCATCTTCAGATGGAAATTTCTCCTAAAAGTCATCAGTTGACCCCCCGAAAATTGAAAAGAAAATGAAAGATGATGAAATAAGCTTTAGTTTGATGTGTGTCTCGAACACCTTGGAGAGTTGTGAGTATTTTTCCCGAATTTTTGAATTGGGAGCATTTAGCATTGGGGTCTATGGAAGTTTATTTACTGGTCTGCTACCCTCAATGCGTGTGAGAGTTGGCAGCCCCGGGATCCGACATTCACATGACAGGCGGGGCGGGGGGGGGCCCTAATACACTTGCCAAAAAATGCATACCACTCTCATAATGTAAGAAAGTGGCATTGTTATGAAATCAGTGGTAGCGTTTGTTGTCATTTTGTGTTTTCAATAATTCAAAAGTAATATTAAGAAATATTACTTATATTACTATTCTTTTACAAGGTTGACCTTCCATATACATGTAGTTTGCCAAGCCGTTGTTGGCAAAAAGTGCAAACCAAAGCACCCGTGGCGCGCCCTCTTGCGGCGGTATACGTCAAGCGCGCGGTACAATCAAAATGGCGACGCCCAAAGGAAAGTCACCGACGTTTTCGCGCATGGAAAAACACCGCAATTTGTACAAAAATACAAGTCCCCAATGGCGAGATAGTTACAGACGGGTAAGGAAAGTATTTTTGTTACTTTCAAGTCATAATTAAGGCGATGGTGTATCTACGGGCCCGGTTCCGATAAAGCCTTCAAAGGGAACAAAATCCACCTTATTCTATAGCTTGAGTGACTCCAGCTGACATGCTCATATTCATTCACATGTAGCGCTGGAGGAAGGCCTGTGCGTTTCCATGTGGTAGCAAGAGACCCTAAAAAAATGGCCTCTCCAAAAATTGTTCATTTTCACCTCTAATACCCCACCCCAGAGTTCACCCACATACCTCATAATTTCAGCAGTCATTTACGAAGCCTAATGATCGATTTGAAACAAGACCAACAAAAAAAAAGTGAAAAATCTTGACGATTTCGGTGGCTTGTCCGTAAAAATACGCCTGTTCCAACAGCTGTATTCCATTTTGTTTTGCTAATTATATTAATGTATGCATCACGTGATGATGACATCAAAAAATCGGCGCGCGCGATGTATGTGGGTACCACACCGCTTTCAGGCGCCGCAAGTGAGTTCAATTTTCGTCTGGTGCGTTGTCGCGGAAAGCAAGACAACGAGAATGCTCTCCACGGCAACGCACCAGACGAAAATTGAACTCACTTGCGGCGCCTGAAAGCGGTGTGGTACCCAAATACATCGTGCGCGCCGATTTTTTTTATGTCATCACGTGATGCATACATTAATATAATTAGCAAAACAAAATGGAAGACAGCCGTTGGAACAGGCGTATTTTTACGGACAAACCACCGAAATCGTCAAGATTTTTCACTTTTTTTTTGTTGGTCTTGTTTCAAATCGATCATTAGGCTTCGTAAATAACTGCTGAATGTATGAGGTATGTGGGTGAACTCTGGGGTGGGATATTAGAGGTGAAAATGAACAATTTTTGGGAGAGGCCATTTTTTTAGGGTCTCTTGCTACCACATGGAAACGCACAGGCCTTCCTCCAGCGCTACATGTGAATGAATATGAGCATGTCAGCTGGAGTCACTCAAGCTACTTATTCTAGCTATTGGGTGCACATCTAGCCCAGGTAGACTCCCTTTCCGCCCTACGTAACGGAGGGAGTCCAGGGTATGAAGTGCTCAAAACCGGGCGAAAAAATTTATGACCGATATTTTCAATATGTTTACCTTGTTGGAGAAGGGCTGCTGGGTTCAGAAATTCCATATGCGATGCTGACCGACCTTAATCTGGAAAATAAACTCGAAAGCAACGTTAAACTTGTACGTGTTTGTAGACTCGGGAAAAGTTCCATACTCGGATGCCAATTTATCTGCTGCCAAACATATCAATTGTCACCTCACCTTGTCATTTGAACCAAGAGAAATCCAGGAAGCTGTGTAAAGGTGAAAAAAATTTACTCAAAATGTGTTTTTAGAGCACATTTTGGATGCATACGTCGTGGAGAACTAACTTGAAGCAGCCGGTCAAAACTGATTGTAGTGGCTGAATTGACAGCGGTACGTTATACACGTGACATCAACAACCATGACGTCGCATGAGCCTGCCAATGATAGTGCAATACGTCATTATGAATATTTATTTTCTCATGAATATTTAGTTTATTTCAATGATACTTCAAATACGTCCAAAGATTGATTATTGCAACAGCGATATTGCGCGGCCTAGCGGTTAAGAGTCTCGTGTATCAAGCAAGCGTCAGAGGTTCGAATCCCGATGAAGTAACTGACTGATATAGAAATTAAGGAAAGGAGAGGGTGAGAGTAGAGGAGGGAAAGTGGAGGAATAACCATAAAAAGATGTAACTTTTGGCGCTAGAAAATTAATTGAAAAAAGTGACGTCCGAGTACGGAATTTTTTCCGTAGACTCTTTTCATCAGTTTCTCACCGCCGAGTCTATTCTAGTCGTACATGATGTACTTCTGTGCAGCGTGTAGTCTGGTTCCCTAGACCGGACAATTATTCTCGACGCTCGTATCACGTCTGGTCCGGGGTCCAGACTATGCAGCAGGAATATGCAGTGCGCACGCGCGATTTGCTTAGTAACCACCCTCATACGCACGCGCACTTACTTGAAGGCGCGGTCGCTAATCCAATGACCGAGTGTGTTTTCGCGCCAGTTACCAGAAACATGTTTCGGCTTTGGTCATTGGTTGAGCGTTTTCGTGACATCGGTTGGCTGGAGTGACGTCACGGTTCCAACCAAAACTAAACAAATGAGGACGCTAGTGTGCGTGCGCGCTTTCGTACCAACGTACATTGTACATGACGTACGACTCTGGGAATAAACTGATGAAAAGAGACTACAAACACGTACTAGTTGAACGTTGCTTTAGAGTTTATTTTCCTGATTAATGTCGGTCAGCATCACATATGGAATTCCTGAACCCAGCGGCCCAATAGGTAAGGACATATAGAAAATGTAGGCGTAAATAAGCTTCTGTAACGAGGTAAAACGTAACAAAAATCTGGTCCAAATTTTGGGTGGTCTTATGTAGAGAATTCTCGTCCTGGACGTTAGTCGTAATGCATTGAAGACTTCGTCCAACCTTTACTCCTATAGGTTCAGAACCCCGCAAAATTGTTGTCAGCACAAAACACTAATTAAGTACAAAAACGTCCATCCCAACCAAGCTTTTTCCCACAGAACCGCTGCACAGTTTGCCCCTAAACTCCGTACAATACCTCATGACATACTCACGTTATGTGCACGGAACAAACATCGGTGGATTCTGTCGGTTTTTCGGCAAAAATGATGAAAAATATGCCTTTTCCGCACTGAGCCAACCTGACACTTGAAACGTGCACGCGCGCTGATATCGCAGTCATTTTCGGATTCGATCGCTCGGGGCGCGCCGCGGGGGTACGTACTTGCACTTGTACGCATGCGCATACTATCGTTCCGCTCCTACACCATACCCCCCGTAGCGCGCAGCTCCAAGCGATCGAACCGAAAATGACTGCGATCATTCTGCGCGCGTTCACGTTTCAAGTGTCAGGTTGGCTCAGTGCGGAAAGGGCATATTTTTCATCATTTTTGCCAAAAAACAGACAGAATCCACTGATGTTTGTTGGGTGCACATAACGTGAGTATGTCATGAGGTATTGTACGGAGTTTAGGGGCAAACTGTGCAGCGGTTCTGTGGGAAAAAGCTTGGTTGGGATGAACGTTTTTGTACTTAATTAGTGTTTTGTGCTGACAACAATTTTGCGGGGTTCTGAACCTATGAGGCTCCACAACGTGGAGCCTCACTCCACTACGTGGAGCCTCATAGTTCTAGGAGTAATATTTATTGTGGTCCCCTGCTGTGTGTTATGATACTTATCTCAACTCATATTAACATGTAACAGTTGTCTGGTATACATATTCAACATGGAAAATAATGGTGGGGGAAACGCACCCGACCATTGCTTAGCGCTGGTAAACAATGCGTGCTACTTAATGCAAAGTACCTTGCATTGACCTGTGACATGTGTTTACACTCGACAGTCATTTTGATTTTGAGTGTGCTTCAGTGTGAGTTGACAAAAACAGACCTCCAAAAATTATCTGTAAAAACGTCAGTATTTTACTTTTCATCTTTTCATCATTTGGTGCGTTATAGGTCTATACTTCATGTATCAGTATAATACTTCAATATTGAATATTATAAACCTTTTCGTATCTGAAAAAAAGTTGCCAGTTTTGCTATTGTGAGTTTCCTAGCGTTATGCATAAACATAACGCTAAGGATCATCCTAGCTACCTTATTCCGACCTACTAGTCCGAGTAACTTGGACCAAACTTATCGCCTTTTTAACATTCGAACATGGTCTGGCGATAGTAAGGTCCCAGCTAAACTTCAGTACAACCATCTTAATCATCGATGTCTACTTGTACCTCAGGTGGCATAATTTGGAGGCCGTTTTGAGGGTGAAATCTGATGTGTTTTTTTTTTGGAAAATGTTGGTTTTTGGGACAGTGACAGGATGATGTTGTCCAGCTCGCACTATTACATGTAGCTTGGACCTTACTATCGCCAGACCATGTCCGAATGTTAAAAAGGCAATAAGTTTGGTCCAAGTTACTCGGACTAATTCCGACCTAGTCCGAGTAACTCGGACCTAGTCCGAGTAACTTGGACCCAACTTATCGCCTTTTTTAACATTTGGACATGGTCTGGCGATAGTAAGGTCCAAGCTACATGTAATAGTGCGAGCTGGACAACATCATCCTGTCACTGTCCCAAAAACCGGAGCAACTATAGAATGCAGGGCCACGCCGGAGCAAGGTGTTTTTTTCTGCTTGGAGGCGTAGATCGAGGCCGGCGATGTGAGGATACATGTAGGTAATAGGCTGACAATATAATAATGATAGTGGATATTTTGCCGGAGGTAATGACGGCAAACTAACGATTACTAAAGGTTTGCCGGCGGCAATCCATATCAACAGAGGGCGCTGTACTCTTTAAAATAGGGCTGAATTATAAGATGTATTAAATTCCCAACAAAAGTTGTGTAGCACGTTTGGTGTAATGGTTATGCAAAGGCTCTAGTAAGTGGGATGACTTGCGTTCGATTCGACCGCACCACATTTTAAAGTTTTTTTTCTCATCCCCAAATAAATAAGAATATTCTTCTTTTATTATTTTAACATGTCGCAAACATATTTTGCAGAGTATTACATTTTCTTTTTCAGATTTGTGGCTCTGGAGAATTTTTTTTAAAAGGGAAATAAAGTCCGAAATTATGAAATGGTCTGAATCCCATCTTGTGAATACGAGGTAACAACGATAATTTTGGCATGGAGCCAGACTAAAACTTGTCATCGGAAAATGTTTAAGTACAAAAAAACAGTAACTGCGCATGTTCAGTGCATATTCGGCAAACTAACGTTTACTAAAGGTTTGCCGTCTCCGGCAAAATATACACTGCCTATATATGCAAACCTGCAAAAAGTGCTAAGTACAGCGAATGCACTTGTCTTCTAAGCTTCTCATTAAGGATCGGAAGGGAGGGCGCGCTTATAAATATGTTGGGGCACGAAGTCGCGGAGAC